TTTCTTTTTTCTGTTAGTTGGTGGAGGGTTTAAAGATAAACTTTCCATTGGAAAATAATGCATATAAAGAAAAGTCCGCAAATCCTAAGGATACAGCTAGATGAACACACAAGTATAATCAGCACCCAGGCCAAGAAACCTTATGTTACCAGCATCGGGAAGCTCTCCTTGTACCCCATCCTAGTCACCAAGTCCCTACAAAAGTAAGCTCTATTTTGACATCCAACATCAGAGGTTAATTTGGCTTATTTTGAACCTTTTATAAATTGACTCATTCAGTATGTACTTTCCTGTGTTTAGCTTTTTTTGTCTAACATTGTATTAATAATATTCATCTCTGTAGTCCCAGCTACTTGGGAATCTGAGGCAAGAGAATCACTTAAGCCCAAGAGTTTGAGGTTGGTGTGAGCTGTGATGCCACAGCCCTCTACTGAGGACAATAGCTTGAGACTATCAAAATAATAGTAATAATTAATAATTAATTAATAATAACAATATTTATTTCTACTGTTGGATATAGCATTAGTCTGTTTATTATTTTATTTTATTTTTTTGCAGTTTTTGGCCAGGGCTGAGTTTGTATCCACCACCTCCAGCTGGTCCCTACCCCTTTGAGCCAGAGGTGCCACCCTAGTCTGCTTATTCTTATTGCTATATAATATTCCATTGTAGGAATATATTACCATTTATCAAAATAATAGTAACAATTTAATAATTAATAATATTCATAATAATAATATTCATCTCTACTATTGGATATAGCATTTGTCTGTTTATTCTTATTGCTATATAATATTCCATTGTGTGAACATATTACCATTTATTTATCTATTTATTCTACTGTTGATGAAAATTTGGGTAATTTCCAGTTTGGGGTTACTGGACGATAGTGCTATCCAAAGTGCAAGCAACACTAAAGTGGTCGAACCGATTTATTCTGCATCCAGCAATGTTAGTGAGTTCTGGTTGTTCAGAGTTGTCATCTAAGTTTTATGTATTATCTTTTTTCTTTTCCTTTCCTTTTTTTTTTTTTTTTTTTTTTTTTTTTGCAGTTTTTGGCTGGGACTGGGTTTGAACCCGCTACCTCCAGTATATGGGGCCAGAGGCCTAACCTCTGAGCCACAGGCGCCGCCCTATGTGTTATCTTTTAAAGTCTGATTGTTCTAGCAACCAAAAAGGCCCTGAAAAATCTCCAAGCCACCTTTCAGAGACGATACTATCTCTACTGGCTTTATAGATTAACTTTGAATTCACTTTCAATGTAACATGCAAAGATTTCTATAATTGTACAGAAAAAAAAATTTCATATCTGGTATAGCATAAGAAATTCCAACTTTGAAGCTGATGTGGAAAAAACAGAGTATTTTTGCCATAAAAGTAAAACTGATGAGCAAGTGACTTGTAGATTTATAGCCCATCATGCTGAAGACTGTAGGCTCCGGATCCATGTTACTGGGATGATTCTAATCTCAGCTCTGTCACTTTACCAGTTGTGGAATCTTAAAAAGGTTACTTAGACTTTCTGTGTCTTAGCTTTCTTAGCTTTCTGTGAAATAGGGATAACAATATTTCCTACTTCACAGAATTGCTTATCACTAGTTAAATATATTATTTAGGCCCTTAGCCTCTTTTAGTGGTTAATATTTAGGTTTTAATATCAAACATCCAAGTTCAATCTCATTTCAATCACCTTCTTAAGCTTAGCATAAGTTATTTTATTTGTGTGTGCTGCTTTCCTGTCTTGAAAATGGAATATTAATATTTATCTTATAACTTATTTAAAGCTAAAAATGAGTATGTATCTGGAAAAAAAACCAAACTTTTGTGTTTGAAATACATCTGTCAAAGGCTACATTAATTTCTCTAACAAGAAATGTTTCCAATAAACAAAGAATTCATAATTCACATAATATGTACAAAGAAACTGCAATTATACAAGACTGTTAAATATTGCTTTTTATAATTTAAAATGCCTTTTTGTAACAAAGGAATTTTATAAGTTCTGTGATTAAAATATTTCAAGTTTTATGATTAAGCCTCACTTTACACAATACAGAGTCACACAATGATCTTCCTTTACAAAGTCATTTTTTTCCGCATTAAATTACAGAAAATATTTGGGAAGTGTATGTAGCCATAATAATCAAGTGCAGCACACTTAGAGTTGCTCTGCCAGGGCTTTGGCCACCTAGCTATGCTCCAGTCTCCCTTGTATTTCATCGTTCTTTTTGGCTCACAGGAATGTAAACGTTCCCTAGTCTTTACCTTGAAAAAACAAACACATTATTTCTATATTCCTAAGTATGTCTGTCTACCAGATCAACTACCCTCTCTGATGGGCTTCTTGTTACTGAATTATAACTTAAAACCAATAAAAGTTTAAGGTTTATAGCTTGTGATTTCACTTTAATAAAGTATTTAAAATAACACCTAGCACAAAATAAATCTTGATGAGTTTCAAGTCATTATTATTACCGTTGCTCCAATTATATCAATGCCTTTTAGTGGATTGTGAGAGAACAAAGGTAACAGAAAAAATGTCAAATTAAACTTCTACAAGATATCCATCTATTGTTAATTGATCAGGCTATAATTTTTCTACTGTATTATAAAGTATTTGGAATAGAATGCCTTATTCCAGTGTAAACCTCTTAAGATTACATAGCCTTATTAGCTATCAGGTAGTTTTATCAACACTTTTTCTTTTTTTTAAAGTTGGCTACAGAAATATCTGGTAAGAACTTTCAGAACTATGTAAGCAAATTCTTTTAATCCTTATGTAAATTTAATTTCCTTCTGATTTCTAATAATAGGAAATTTATATGTATTTGCAAATAAAATATTGGTATGTTTCATTGACATTTAATGAGTTCTCCTATGGTCGCACTGTGCACTTCCACAGTCATTTCTGCCTCTACATGACACTAATTGGATCTCTTCCAAAGCATATTAAGCCATCTATGCTGTTTGTTGTCTTAAAACGTTACATTTGCCAATTATCTCCTAAAATTTGCTCCAGACTTTGCTTCTGATTACAGTCATTAAATGTACTTCAACATTTTAACTTTTCCGTAAATGTGAAGGTCTTTCTTTTATTATAAAATTTTCCAATTGTAAATGCTTTAGCAAAGTTTAAAAAAATAAAAATATTGAGGATAATTGGACATATTTATAATTTCTTTTCTTGACCCAGGAAAATAAAACTCAGAGGGCTCTCCGAGGAGACAAACATATATAGAGAAGGCAGAGTTGTGAAACTGAGGAGGGAAAGAATTTTAAATATTTAGAAATTATATACTTGTTAGTATCTTTTGAGACTACAGCATTTTTCCTTACTATTCTGATATGATGTATTATACAAATACATTTTTGAAGTATAACTCACACTGCCTAGGATTGAATCCTTTCTTCACTATTTTTTGTACATACAATAAAAACTTTCTAATGGAAATATATCTTTCCCTTTAGGATTTTTCCACATTTTTATACATAAGAAGAAATCAAAGTATACATAGCAAGATGCAAATCTTGTTTGAAATATATAATGTGCATTTTTAGAAATAGAGACTGTAAGTATGAACACTAATCTCTTTCATTATTATTTGGCTAGTTGACACCAATTAAACACAATAGGTAGTTTTATCCTTATAGCTATTCTTAAAAATTTAAGTCATCTTCTCTAATTCCATAGTTTTAGCAGCTAGAGCTTTAACTGTTGATACCCAAACATATCAATCAATATTTTCCTTCTTTGGAAAGACCCACAGCTTTTCAAGTGAAGATAACTGTCACGAGAACACTGAAGTCTACTTTCCTTCAGCCACAATAAGAACTCCCTCCACTGGGAGCACTCACCATAAGGTAGTCTGGTACAAAAGTACAACAAAGATGAAATTAGTGTTCATTATCCCCAGTACAGTTCCTTCCCCATTCCTCTCTTAGATAGATACCCTTTAAAATCTAACATATTCTAGAAATTAGATTTCTCATTATCTTAAAGCCTACCTGCTTCTATTTTGTCTATAATGTAATATTTCTTTTAAAAGACATTACAGTCATTGTGAGAGGGAAGTTTATTTTTCAAACACAGATGTTTATTTATTAAACCTAACTTAAAGGTCAGTTTTCTTCCATGGCTATGTGAGAACTTCTGACGGTTAAATCCTAAAGGATTGGCACCTACCTGTCTTACTCATCTTGGATCCCAAGCATTTAGCTTAGTGCCTGGCTTCTAGACTGCATTCAAAGTTTGCTGTTAAACTGAACAAATGTGGCCGATGATTGGCAAACTGGTGCACTGTCTTAATCCTGTTGGACCATATAACAAACTTATGAAACCTCTCGGTCTTCCCAACTATTGCCAAGTGCAGGAATCTTGTTTTTTCTCAACCACCCCAGCAGGAGTCTTGACCTACAGAATTCACTCTTGAGACCTCTCTTATCTGTTGAAATTAAATAATTAGCAATCAGTATTGGAAAGTAATGTGTGAAGAAAAAAATATGAGGAATGTAAAAGATGTGACAGGATTGGGTTGCTGTAAAGGCAGAAGAAAACTAAGGATAAAGCATGTTAAGATTCCAGCTTCTTGAACATCAAGCTTTCCTGCGAGGCAGTTGCCTTAGCAACTTCCGAAAGCGTCAGCCTCAGCCCCGCCCTAGCACCGCCTCCCACCCCGCCCTAGTCCCGCCTCCCAGCCCCGCCCCCAGCCTTCTTGCTCCTCAGCCGCCAACCCCACGCCCTTACTTCCGCCCCAACCTGTCAGCTGGGACCGAGGGTCCTACTCTCTATGCCTTCGCTTGTGCTGCCTGATTAAAAATATGACAGCGAAAAATAAAGTTAGAAATATATTCTTTCTACACGACTCATACTTTTACCTCAGATGCATAAATGCCAAATTAGCAGGTCCTTGTAACTTGGAGGCTCCCTGTAGTGTAAACATTTGGGGTGATTCAGGCAGTGTTTTGGACGACAGCAACTGCAGAGGTCCCCGGCCTGCCGAGGGAAACGTGGATTCGCTGGGGCGGAGTGGTCCTAGGAGGAAGTGGGGCTCCCGGCGAAGTTGGCGGGGGATTTCTGTGCGACCGGCCTCATCATGTACGCGTTTGCTTACCGACCGCCCTCATCCCACGTCCCACTGCTCGACCTTAACTCTCTCCCTCTCTCTTCCCCAGGTCGAAGGTTTCCTTTAAGATCACGCTGACGTCGGACCCACGGCTGCCGTACAAAGTGTGAGTCGGTGGGCTGAGACGGGCCTCTTGGTGCCCGGCAGGACGGGGCTGGGCTGGGGTCATCCGAGCCTTGCGAACAACTGCCGCCCCGTCGGCCTTCGTCCCCTCCGCGCCCACCCAGCAGCCTCTCGCCGGAGCCTGAGAGGCGCCGGCCCGCACTTGCTCGAGTGGAGGCTCGGCCCCGGCCCCGGCCCTGGCGCTGGGGTCTGGATGTGTTCCTGCTAATTAGTGGCTTCCCCTGGGAATTCATTGTTGGGTGGTGGAGCGGGAGGACGTGTGGACAGGGCTCCGGCAGTTTGCTGGGATTCTTTAGCAGTCTCTCTCTGCGGGAGATGAGAAGGGCCTTTCCCCGCCCTGACCAGCTGTTAACAGGAGGTTGAGGGAAAGGTCCTGCTTGTCGGAGCCTCAGAATTTACTTGAATGCGTGTTAATGTCAGGCTTCTGGTTTTCATTGCGAGGTGCGTGACTCAACAATTGAACATCACAAAATAACCAGTCTCAGATCTTACACTTTCTATGTTGGAATTTAACTAAGAGTGTTCCTAAACGGAAATAGGACCGTTTATGCATGGGGGGGGGCTGTCCTTGTGGATTAAAACAGTCTGACCATACGCTTAATCTGGACCTTCCTGCGAGTTTAAGTTAACACTCTTGATGTTATTACAGCTGCAGGTACGTAAAATGTAGCAAGGAACTTTAGTAGGAATTTGTGCATGATTGATATGTTTAGTGCCCCTGAATCAACTAATAACAGTTGCCATCAATTTCAGTCACTTGCTGCATCCATGACCCGAGTGACTGCCCAACCTTTTATTCTTTTGAACCTTTCTTCTCCAAAATACCATGTTATACATTTTGTCTCAAGTCTTCATGGTCACAGCCTACAACCTAAGATCTCCAATAATTGTTCTATCTCTAAAATTTCATTTTTAAGCACTCTTATAGATAACTACATTCTCTTATAGCTGATTTGCTGTAATATCTCTTCTGCCATGTTTCTTCAGTGCGTTGACCACACTTCTTTTTAATCTATAGCTGCCCTTCCCTGTGCCTTATCCCCCTCCATATAGAGCTTAGAGTCCATGGGCCTGTCTTTAAATCATTCTTTTGCAAAACCTGGTCCCCAATCCTCCCGAGCATATTTTGCTTCATGAAATACTCTTAAACCCAGCCATTTCTATGCTGTGTAACATAGCTTCATCTCTCTGGAGAAAATTCACAATTAGGGTGATAGTTTTACATAAAATTTATGACTGCATTCAGTAGTACGTAGCTCTCCATACATTCAGGTTTGCTCATTTTCCTCATTCTCAGAAAGGATTTTTTTTTTTTAATTCTCTACAGACTTTCCACAGCTTCTTTCCCCCTTGCTCTCAAGCTGTCAGAGGGAGCCTCTCCCATCTTTCTGTCTCTGCATGTATAAACATACCACTATAACTATAAACCCTTAATTTCAGTGTCTTAACCCTGACAATGGAAAATACAGCTTTATTCCTATGTAAAGCAAGTTGTTTCACTGGGCTCTAGATCCATCCATATATTTTAATTTTTCAAGATTAATGTACATGGAGTCCAGCTCCTTTCTCTTCATTATTGGTGTTTTGGTACTGTTCTCATCAGTGTGTAAATATATGCTAGAAAGTGAAGAAAAAAGAGGATATAATATCAGTGTAGCAAACACAATAGGATTTTACGCATGGTTAATATAGCTAGTATAAGGATATGCCAGTACTTACAAGTGCCTGGAACATTGTGCCAGTTCAATTCATATGTGGTAACTTAGTGAATTTAGTAAGTGTAACTGTTCTTTTGGAAAATATATGTATATTGTGTGTAAGAGTCCTTATGCTATGTTTTCTCATTCGCAGTAAGTGGTAATTAATACCTGAGAGTTCATAAAAGCAACTGGAAAAACATATTTGTGACCTATATTTTTCTTTTTTGGAGATGGAGTCTAACTTTGTTGCCTTTGGAAAGTGCTGTGGCATCATAGCTTGCAACAGCTCAAACTCTTAGGCTTAAGTGACTCTCTTGCCTCAGCCTCCCAAGTAACTGGACTATAGGCACCCACCATAAGGCCCAGCTATTTTTAGAGATGGGGTCTTGCTCTTGCTCAGGCTGGTCTCAGACTCCTAAGCTCAAGCAATCCACCTGTTTCAGCCTCCCAGAGCACTCGGACTACAGGTGTGAGCCACTGCGTCCTGCTGTATTTTAACCTTTTTATGTGACTTTTCCCTTATGAAACAGGACAGTATATACTTGGATAGTGACACTTGCCTTTAGTTAAGCATTACTAATGTTGATTTCTACAAGGAATGTTTCATTTAGTTCTGAATTTATTCTGGGCAATAATGGAGTCTTTATTTGTTGTTTGTTGGTAGATTTCACTATCAGTATTGACACTAGGCTATAGAAATGTTAAAATTAGACCATCTTTTATACACAAGATGAACTAAAACACTGTTGGCTCTTTAAGTCTCTTTCAGACCTTTTCCATCTTATTTCCCACCTTCTCTTCTCCCTTCCTTACTACCACCATCACTAATCAGTCCCCCTCCTACATTGAAAAGTTAGCCCTTCTAATCTTTGCTGCCTTTACACACATTCTTAAATGTAATCTTGTGAGCACTACTTTTTGACAGTCTATTTTAAACAAAATGTCCCCTCTGTGAAGATTTTTGTAATCATCCAGTTATGCCCTTTTTGAGTTTCCTTTGGAATTTTTCTTAGTCTTCTTAATAACATTTGTCTATTTGTGTCATCATTTTATTTAAATGAGATGTTTATTAAAAGAACAAATGATGCCAGTAATTCATTTTGCAGATTCACTTTAATGTAAATGATAGTTTCCATTTTTTCAAACATTAGTACAATTAATGCACCAATTTCATAAAATGATAGTGACTGGCAAATACAGTGGCTTCAAATATGGATGAGGTTTATGGAGTTATCATGATACTCATTTTCTCTTTAATTTTCTGCCAACTAGAATATTTATTAAAAGATGTTTTTATTCTGTGTTTTATTGGCTTGTCTGTGGACAGTCTTACTAACTTAATATACAGGTAGAAACTTATTTTAATGAACATCAATATGACATCTCATTACATTGAAAAGACATTTCCACGCTCCAAGTCAAAAATGAATTGAACCTCAGAGTGTTTGACTTTTTCCTATTGAGGCAGAGTTTTAAGGAAATGAAACTCAGGTTCTAGACTACAGATGTGCTACAGAAATACTTACAAAGTATGTTGCCTATTGGTAAACTATCACGTTGCCATTTATTATCTATTTTTTAAACAATGTATATCCTTTAGAATTTTGCTTTTGCTCTTCTATACTTCCTTAAGAAAAATTAAGGGAAAAAATGATGGTCATTTTTGTTCTTTTAACAGTATTTTGGAGTGGAATGGGGACATCCAAGAAATCCATACACACTTACAAAAAGTCAGTATATTGGTAATATACTGTAGTTGATATAATGATTCTTGTATTCAGAGATCTGTAGTCTAAGGAGGAACCAGGGCATTTATATGAGAACGTTTTATAATGGTAGTTGGTGTTAAGGCACTAATAGAAAAATAGGGTGGTAATGGGTAGAGAGAAATTTCAAAGAGAAATGTTAGCTTGTCCGTCTATCTTCCCTGCTTTGAAAAATTAACAGTTTTCTATTTTTTATGATTTTAATTTATTTTACTTTAGGAATCTTATTTCGTTATTTCACTTATTTTTAAGCCTCTTACTGTGTCTTTAAGTATCTTAGAGTACAGTGTAAATTTCTTTTTTTGCTGTTAATTTGGAAAATGGATACAGATTGACTCTACAACGAAGTCATTAAAAATATATCTGTTTACTGGTGATCTTTAATATACTCGGCCATTGTATAGGTCAATTACCAAAATTACACATCCCTCTCTAGAATGTCACTTTAGATACTAAGCTTTTTTCAAATGATGGTGTAAAAAGTAGAAAATCCATTTCATTATTGGCATTTTGCCATAATAAATATGTCTTTTCATCAGTTTGGTCTACTACTTTAGACATTATCATTATTAATAGTACATAGTTTTATGACCAGCAGTGATGCTTCCCAGGCAGCCTTTCCTATAAACAGTAGTAACATTACTGCACTGAGTGAAAGGTCTTTAGAGGGAAGATGGTAAAGTGGATGGAGAACTAGGGAAAGATTCAAGTTTGTAAAATCCATCTCTAGAAACGGACAGCAAGTAGTCTAAATGCTAGACTTAATTGGAAAGGAAATATATATACCTACGCCTTGTAGAAGTTGTTAATTTTTCAAGTAGAACTCTGATAACCATCTCAGTTTTAAGACTGTCACTCTTTTTTTTTTTAGAGTTAACAAAATACAGTAAAAGTAGCAAATTTTGAAACTCTAAAGAGCTTTGTCCCGCAACTAAGGGGCTTTTGTAAAAAACCTTAACTTTGCCTTTGTGGGCGGGACACAATTATAAGAGGTACTTTACTTAACCAATGCTGACAGTGTAACCTCGTTCTTTGTACCCGCAATGAATCCCCAACAATTTAAAAAAAAAAAATAACTTTGTTCTAAAATTCTTCTTACAGACTTAGTGTTCCTGAAAGTACACCCTTTACAGCAGTCTTAAAATTTGCAGCAGAAGAAGTAAGTATGAAAACTTTTAACAATTTTTGTAGAGTGCAATTTAGCAGTATGTTTTGAAAATCTTTAAAATTTGCATGCTCTTTGACACACCATTTCCACATGGGCTCCTTACCAGATCTGTTTATTGGTGATCTTTAATATACTTTCACAAAGTCATAAGTGAGCACTTACTTTCAAATATAAGAAGAATAAGTTAAACAAATTGTGAATGTATCTCTAATGCAACCATTAAAAATTATAAGAATTTTTATCAAAATGGAAAAAGTACCAGTGATGTGTAGTTTTTTTAAAAATAACATTGTATTACACTGTATCTGTATACTCACATTTTACTAGTTTTGATTCTGAAATTATGATTTTATAAAAATCTGTCATATTTTTCAAATTTTCTCTATGAGCATGTGGATTATAGTAAAACTTGTTGACTTGATAAGTGTGTAGTTTTTAACAAGCTGCAGTTTTCTGGGTTTTTTTTTAAGAAATGAAAATTTTTTATTCAAAATTATCAGAAGCTTTTATAAGACAGCCTTTTGGGCATGACCCTTGGAAGAGTAGCTTAATTTGGTAGAAATGGCCCCAAAATGTGTCTTGGAAGACAGAGACATAGGTTCTTGTTTAGTTGTGTCATTAATTAGCTGTATAGCATGCCCCAAACCCTCCCATGTCTTCCTTCTCCAGTTCTTGAATCTGTGAATGGGAATTAGTGCCTGTCATTCCTAATTAAGTGATTTTGAGTAAAAATAAATCATTTCTTGATACTCTGTGGTGAAGTTAAAACTACTAGACAGGTGCACAGTAACCCAAATCCAAATGTTTTGGTTTAGAATCTTTAGAAAAGTTTATAGTCACAGAAAAATAATTTCACTAACAAACAAGAAACCAGCTTGACTCACGTCATCTGTCATCCTGCCCTATACTTAAGTACTTAATGGAAGTCAGCCAAACTGTCAGTGCTCAACAGCTCCTTGTAAACTTTTGTCAAAGACCATAACTGCAAAGTAGTAGTACCTGTTGTAAGGTTAATTTTGATCTATTCTTCATGCAGAAAGAACAAGTAAAATGAGATTAGACACATATCTGAATACAACATTGTCATTACTTTTTGCACTATAGATCACTTGAAAGAAATATTCCTAGTCTTGGTGGGGCATAGCAGAGTCCACAAATTGCAGATTTAAGAAGTAGATCTGTACAAGCTGTACTTAATACTGATTTTTCTATTTTGTAGTTACTACCCACTGTGTAAGGCAGAGGCATTGTTATAATGTTGGCTTTCTAGTGAAAGTATAAGAAAGTCCTAACAGACATGCAGTAGGAAATAAGCTAACAAATTTCTTACAACCACGACATATTAAGGTTTCAATGTAGGTTACAATTATTATAAATCGTGGTATTACACATTTAGAAAGGCTATGATTTTCAGGCAATGGCAAGAGGGGCTTTTAGAAGGTGACACTGGAATCTTTTGCTAAGAACAAACATTAAGTTGAGAAACAAAGATTCTAGGTTTAATTCTCTGGTAAAATTGTTTTGATAAGCTATAGTAAAATTTCCCAAGACGTAACTGGGAATCCATTCAACTAAATAATGCGTTGTCCAATTTGGAAAGACCTCCTCTTATATCCTAAGCTTAAGAATTATGGGATCTGAAGAAGAAAATAAGTGATAAAAGAGAAGTTACTGTATTTTACAAACTAGTGTTGCCTCCCCAGATTTCAGCTTACCTGTGGCCTTTACATTCTACACATGGGAAAAAGTATTAGCAATGACTTCTGTCTTTTTAAAGTTCATAAAATACATTGCATGATGTAGATGTGACTTAAGAAAATGTATCATTTATCTTAAAAAAGGGCATAATCTAAGAGGAACACTCAGAAGGGTAACTGAAATTTTTAGGATTTTAGTTTTGAAAATCTGAGAGTTCTATAACTGAGTATGTGATCAAAGTGCTATTGAAGGCCAGGCACAATGGCTCACCCCTGTAATCCCAGCACCTGAGGGGGGAGGATTACTGAATCTAGGAACTCAAGACCAGCCTTGGGCAACATAGTGAGCCCCCAACTGTGTTGTCTACAAAAATAGAAAAATTAGCTTGAGCCCAGGAGTTTGAGTCTGCAGTGAGCTATGGTTGTACTGTGCTACAGCCTGGGCAACAGAGAAACCCTGTCTCTTTTGAAAGAAGAAAAAAAAAATGGAAGAATTTTATTGAGATTATAACTTGTATAAAATATTTTTGAAATATTTTAAAATTTATTTAAGAGTATTTTAAAGTTCTTTAAAAAAATCTTAATCTTTAAAAAGAATGCTTATAATTAAGAATGTATCACATTCAGAGAAAAATAATTTGTTTATTAGGTGCATAATATTGTAACAAGATTGTTCTTATTTATTGTTCTTATTTTAAAACTTGATTCTTCAATTAGTAATTTAAACTTTTAGTTATTTATGGGACCATTATAAATGCCTAGAGCAATGTTTCCCAGACAACTAAAACCACATAGGATAACACTCCATGAAAAACTGGAGTTAGTGGCCAAAAAGTACAGTATACTTTTTATTTATGATTTTCTGTTGGAGTTAAACTGTATTAGCACCATATTAAAGGCATTGAGAAGACCACTAGTTTAATGTAGTATTTTCTAAACTTATTTGATCATAAAACTCCAATGTAATATCGGTAAAATTAGTCCATAGCCCAGATATACTTAATACAAATTTGTTTGGTACACTAGTAAACTATGGAGATGTAAACACACCTTGGCAACTGCAGGTCTCTAGAGCTTTAAGAGTTGGAATCTTCTTTTAGGTACCAATAAGTTCCATGCCCCATTTCATTGACACAAAAAGCACATCTTTTTTACAATGTCTGTGAAATAAGTTAGGGGAGACTTGCTCTTCCTGTTGGCCATATGGAAGTCACTTAATTGTCTAGGTGACATTGCGTGCACCTAACTGAACTTAGTTGTTACTTCCTAGTGACATAACTGGACTATTGCAATCCTTTTATTGAAACAGATCATTTAAGGAGAATTTAAGAAATACAAGCCTTGGTTGTCTCCTGAATATCTTCTGTAGGCACTTCTCCTTAAACGCAGGAGAGCATCTGCTTGGAATGTGCCATTTTTATGAAATTTTGGAAATAATCTCATCAATTTGTTTTACTTGGGGGGGGGCTTATGAAGAGATCGTATATAAGCATGACATGGCTAAGTCTGAAAGGGTAAACATTGATTGGGTCATCGATTGATTGACACTGTTTTTCCTTTTTTGTAATACATAAAATAAGGTACATTTTCCAATCAGTGATGTCCTAAATTCAGTCAAATGAATTATTTAGACTATGGGTTGTTTTTCAGATTAGCAGATTGATAAAGCAGATTATAGCAGACCATTGAACAGCACAGGGGTTAGGAGTGGCAGCCCTGGTATAGTCTAAAGTCCACATGTGCCTAAACTCCTCCAAAACTTCACTGATGATAGCCTGTTGACCAGCATAAACATGTGATAATGTACTGTATTCTTAAAATAAGAAAGCTAAAGAAAAGAAAATACTACTAAGAAAACCATAAGGAAAGTACACTTACTATTCAGTGGAGGTGTCTTCCTCCTCATTGTCTTCCCAGAGTAGGCTGAGGAGGGCTTGGATTTTCCTCAGAGTGTCAGAGATAGAAGAAACTCTGCATATAAGTGGACCCCCAGTCTTGAGCTGTGTAAGGGCTCACTATACTATGGTGCCACCTATTTTAAAAGATACATCACATTTTAGAAGTACAGAATTGATTTCAGCTTTCCTGATCATCTTTTGTAACTTGTCTTCTGTTTAGTTTAAAGTTCCTGCTGCAACAAGTGCAATTATTACCAATGGTAAGAATTTTCATTTTAAAGTTATTTATTGCCTCAAATATACGGAAATTGTTTAAAAGGAGTCAAATTAAAATTCACTTAATTACAGAAAGCTTGAAATACTATCTCAATGGTATACTTAATGGTAAATGCTATGTCAGGGTTATTCATCATTAGCTCTTTTTCTTTTTGGGTTTTTTTTTTTTGGTATTTTTAATATAGTATAGCACTTTCTAATATCTTGTGCTCTTATCACTTCTTGCCAGATTTTTACTGAAAATGACTTTTTATTTAGAAAGTTTTTAAAATATAAATTACATTAGTAAATGCTGTAGAATATGAAAAATTAAGCAGAAATGGACCTTATAATCCCTTTCCTGACAAAACTGTTTCTTAGAGGCTGCTAATGGGACTTTATTCAGTGAGGTACTTAATTAAAAGTAGCTTGGAATCCTGATAACAAAGTATAATAGAACCAGTTCTATGAAAAAATAGTGAAATAATAAGAGTGAAGATTACAGGGAGGGCTTAACACTCTTTACGTATGCAAAGTAATACTGATAGGTGCCAGAGAGCAGTCTGCACAGGTGGGAGTAAGAGGAACCCAGCTTAATGTGTGTGATGTAACTTGGATGACAGAACTTCTCACTGGAAAATACTTTTAATGCCGTCACATTTTATGTGACAGCGTGCAGAAATAGTGTTTCTCTGTGTAGAAGAACGCTGGCCTACTTTCTGGAAACTTCAAAGTCCCCATTGAATTAATTCTTAGGAATATGCTTTGAAACTTTGAAGTGTTTGGGGGAATTTGAACTAGATGACTTGGCGGGCTCTCCCAGCTTTAGGATATGATGCCTTAGAGCAATATGAAGGTAATTAATGGCTTACCTAAGGTGCTTTTAGCTTTTTGGGAGAAATGACAAACATTTTTCATTCTATGTAACAGAATAGAATTACAATAGCAGATTTCAGCAGGTAACTTACCTAAAAGATTGTTACCCATGTGACATGGGATTTAAATTGGCCTCTGCACACAGCAGCACTATTTTGGCAAATTTCTTCTTGGTGTTAAACTAAACTATTTTATTTTTAGAAATAGCTTACATGATTTTACAAATTATTTTCTAGATGGAATAGGAATAAATCCTGCACAGACTGCTGGTGAGTATCTATTTGAAAACTCATGGAGGAGTGAGTGAGCCTATGTCTGTCAATTGACAGTGAATATTTAATCTAATTAGACTTGCTAGGATTATAATAGGATGAGCTGCTTTTTTTTAGAGATTCAGCCTTTACCTATGGTTCTGAGTAATAATTTGTTTCATTATGTCTATCAATTATGAGTGGTTTTGGCTATAATATCAGTAAATCTAATAGTGGCTTATGCATTGAAAGTATTTAATTAATACACATAACAGAAAGTCTGATGGTAAGATTGTACTCTCATGGAAATAATGATTTTTGACTTCTTGAGGTAGTGCATGTAAATGCATTATTCTTAGCTATTGTAAGTGCTAATTTTTTAAGGAGCTGAGTCCAGACTCAGCTTCAGCCTTCAGAGTGAGACATTGATGCTGTAACAAGCAGGCAGGGTAAAAGTCTTCTATATAATTAAAAAAAGTCTAGAACTTTTAAAAAATTACTGTGTATGATTTAAATGTTTTCTCTGGGACTTATAAACTAATTGTTTTAAAATTGATCATAGCATTAATATAGTATGTCCTCATTCTTGAGCAATAGTTATTTTTAAATTATTCTAAAAAATTTTTGTATTATAACAAAATTATACTATTTTTTATAGACCTCAGCTTAGAATTCAGCCATGCAGAAAATTAAGAGAGATCCAAAATTACAGATTTTTGTTACTTAAAATCAGTTTTAAGTGTATTACTGTATTAAATGTAAAAGGTTATTCATTGAACATTGTGAAGCACTTTATTATATAGGTGCCTTTAAACTTAGTAGATAAAGATTTTGTTTTTCTCATTCTAGGAATTTTCACTAGTTTACATTAATTTGAATTATTGCTTATTCTAACATATTGCTTGTTATATTACCTTTAAAAATTGAATTGTGCATATCATTGGGAATGAAGAAACTCTCAGCCAGCAATTCACCCCAGAATAGGTCATGGCATCCAAATTCTTAGCACTGTGGCAATTTAGATTTATTATCATTTTTTGTTTTTAGGTATTTTATTGTGTAATAAAGCAAGATTTTATGATTAAATAATTACACTGTTAGCTTGCTGAGTATACTTGTTAGCATTTTTATGACTGGTGTTCTTATTTAGAAATTTTAAACATTTGTTGGGTTGGTAGATAGGAAAAGGTTAGAAACAGGACTTGAAAGCATGAAATTTGGTTCTGATGATGCTTGAGATTTTTGCCTACTTTACTTTTACCTGATTTATTTATAGTTATGTAATAATTGTTGGAATATTAAGATAACTTGTTTTTTAGATACCTAACTTTGTGTTTTGTTTTTGTGTAGGAAATGTTTTCCTAAAACATGGTTCAGAACTACGAATTATTCCTAGAGATCGTGTTGGAAGTTGTTAATATCTGCTACTTGGAACATACAATTTCCTTTCAGAATAAATACTGATATTGATATTTTTTGTTGTGAAATTGAAATCAGGCATTGAATATATAATGAAAACCCCAGGAGTCAATGGACTAATGAGAAGTGACTTTTCTGTGCCTTCCTGTTCACACTCTTCATGTGAAGAGGCAGTGCTTAGAATGGAGGAGCTCCCCACAGAAGATCATACAGTCTTTGGTTGCTACCTCAAAGCACAAGCAGTTCGTTCTTTGGGGTAAATGGGTTCTCCAACTGTGTTTTATAACTGGAGGATGTTTCTGATAATTCTATCTGAGAACATTTGGAAAATTAAAACTAACTGAATATTACATGTTTGTTTCAGTTAAAATATAAAAGGATTATGGATCATGGATGGTAGTTTGGCTTGATAGCATCTGATATGCAGACTCATAATTTGATTCTTAATTAATTATATATAGTAATTTCTAATGGAGGCAGTAGACACATCAGTGAATACTCAACTGTCTTACCATTTTATCATTTAGATTTGAGTTTAATACCTTATGTGTCATAAATTTCAATTTAATATCAAATAAAAATTGAATTTTTTATCTAGCTTTTATGTATATAGATTGATGTCCTATACCCAATTTTAACAGTGCTCTTGCAGAATTCACTATTGGTGGTGGTAGGAATTGACGATACAGTGGAACCTGAGCTTTGCATTCCTTTGTTAGTCTCTTTCAGTACAAACTTTTACAGCAGCGATTGTTAAGAACCCTTATGTTTAAAGATGGTATTTTTAAGCAGCATTCAGGAATAGAGAATTGCTGCAAAGAAGATCTGAAGGTCAAAGCTGATTGGAAATGCTGATGTTTATACCCTGAAGACTCAGCTTTCAAGGAAGGGCTAAGATTAGTCTCCTAAGTGACTAAGGAGCCAGGAGAAGCAAGATGGGGAAGCCCAGATGACCAAACTTCTGGTAAGGAGGAAAGCAACAGGGTAACAGGAAGGGGACCAGAAAGCTGTAGCAGAGTGTCGTAGAAAAAGCCAGCTGGACAGAGCTGCAGAGATTATGTTGGGGAGAACTGAAGAGAAAACAAAATGCTGGATATGGTCAAAGTAGCAGAAGGCAGTTAGAGAAAGCAAAGTGTTGGCCTTGTCAGCATACAGATTGAAAATAGGTCTCACGAGAATACAAAGAATTGCATAATATAAGGAAGGATTTTATTTGCCCCTCAGAGGAAACCAGTCTCTGTGCAAATCTTGAAAGATGAAGTGAAGGCTCACAGTGATTCCAAATCAGCATTTGAACCACTGTGTTTTAAATGATGAGCTCTTTGGAGGCAGTGATTGTGTCTGTCTCGTTCTTTCTAGAGCTGGAAATGTAAATACTTGCTGAATTATTCATGAATAAATTCTCTCAGACCAATTTTTATATTAACATGTTTCATTATCTTCCCTGTGATAGGTCCTGGATTCACTGGGGGGAAAAAATATAAGAAAATTCAGCTGAATCAGCATTTGCGGGATGCCATTGTTTATAAAATTACCAATAAAGTTAAAAAATGAACAGGATCTGAATTACCAAAGGAAAAATTTCTTCCCTGAGGTAAAAATAAATATACTGCTTTGCTGATGCTTGAGAAAGTTTTTATTTGAGAGGGATTTTATTTGGGGGGTCTCGCTCTGTCACCTAGGCAGGAGTACCTTGACCTCAGCCTAGTTCACAGTAACCCCAAACCCCTGAGCTCAAGCAATCCTCCTGCCTCGTCCTCCCAAGTAGCTGAGACTACCAGTGCCTCCCACCGCGCCTGACTAATTTTTCTATTTTGAGTAGAGACGGGTCTCACTTTGCTCAGATTGGTCTTAAACACTTGAGCTCAGTCTTTCACCTCATTTTCCCAGAGAGCCACCATACTCAGCTGAAAGTTTTCATTTATTTTTATTTATTTATTTTGAGACGGAGTCTCCCTCTCGTCACCTTGGGTAGCGTGCCATTGCATTGCATCCTCATAGCTCACAATAATCTCAAACTCTTGGGCTCAAGTGAGCCTCCTGAGTAGCTTGAGACTACAGGCACCTGCCATGAAGCTCAGCTAAATTTTTCTATTTTTAGTAGACATGAAGCTTCACTCCTGCTCAGGCTGGATTTGAACTCCAGAGCTCAGACAATCCTCTCACTTCAGCCTCCCAGAGTGCTGGGGTTACAGGCATGAAAAAAATTTTTTTGTAAATAAAATCTAATAACTCAAAAGCCTGTTTTTCAGGAAATTAACTCTTCATTAACCCAAAATTTATAAATACCAACTCCTGCATTTTTGGTTTAGTTTCGATTTTCCTGCATTCTGATTGTAGCACACAAATCTGCCTGCTGTATTGCATAAGTAAGTTTATGCTGTTCTGTGCCATGAAAGTAATTCATTTTATATTTTTGTTCTTCTGTTTGGAAGTTAGATTGTATTGAGTTCCCGAAAACATTCTATTAAACAACTAGACATTTTGTTATTAAATAAATATGATTTGTAATTTCTTTGTGCAGAATGATTTTAAGTAGTTTAAATGCATTATTGGTCCATAGTTAATATCTTAAGGAAATACATTTTGTTACACTATCAACCACTTTGTGTACTCTTACTTCATTATTGTTACTCTTAATCATTAGCATATCTGTTCAGCCAGTGTATAACAAGTGAAGAAAGAAAAGGGCAGAGATGACTAATGGCCGTAAGTCACGGAAATGATAAGTGAGCATGGTGACATTCCAGTCAGCAGTACTACACACTCCACATTTTTACTGTGTATGTTTAAAAACAGATACACAAAGTACTTAATGTGTCATAGTTGCCTATAATATTCTATGCAGTAACAGGTCCACATTTGTAGCCTGTAAGCAGTAGGCTATGCCATGTAGGTGTGTGAGTGTGCTTGTGATGTTCACATGATGACAGAATTGTGTAATCATTTCTCAAAGTGTTCTTGTCACTACATGGTACATAGTAGTAGTTTCCAATGCCAGTTATTTTTTATAGGTGCCAAACCTGGGTGATAATCCTAGTCACCTAGAAATTAAAAACACAAATCTTCAGAAACCACCCCTCAGATTATGACTCTGGAATTGTATGTAAGAACCTCTGTAAAAAGCAGTCCTGGTGATTTCTGCTGTGCAGGTGGTTTGAAATTAATGAGAAGCTCAACCCTCTTACTTTATAGAATAGAATGAGGTCTAAGCTAAGGAGTCAAAATAACTGGAAAATGTTCCATGATCTTGTTCAGTGCACTTTTCCACTGCTATGTTTTCTAGTAGCTTGATGGGTGTGAAGATGCCAGCTAACACTTCCCACACTCAACTGGTACTAAAAACCTCCTTTCAAATTTCTCAAGTCAATAGTTTTAGATATTTTTTAGAACCAGTTATTCAGAGTAAAAATCAGTGGGAAGAAAACTGAGTCCTATTTAATCCACTCTTTGCCCAAATGAAAATATTGAAACTCTCTACCAAGTTTTTCACCCAAGGACCTTGAAATATTTGTGAATTGGAAGCATTGATACACTTTAGTGGAATGATTCTAAGTTAGCTGAGATTAGTGTTTCTGAGGTCATTTATAAAACCACACACAAATATGATTTCCTTAATGTAATTCGTCCCAAAGAAATTGGCTAGACACCTGTCTGTCGAATATTTTACTGGATAATTTCACTTACCACTTACATTGTCTAATTCTTTACTACAGTGCCAAGTTATTTCCCCCATTTTATAGAATAAAGAGGCTTAAAAAAGTTGAGATTGGAAATTTGAACCCATGTTTTGACTTTGGAACTCTGCATGTTATACTGGGACAATATCATTGTCTGCAGGGTATTAGATCTGTACTGGATTAAAAATTTTAAAGTTTTCAAAAAATGGAAGATTTAAATATCATTTCCGAATACCAATTATGTGTGTAGTGAAATGAATGGCATTACTTTTTAAAATGTATAAATATGATAAAATTTTAAGATGTTATTATAAATCAACCAAATGAAGATAATGATACTGGTATACTTCATAGGGTGGCTTGGTGGCAGTAGGGACTGTCCCCCTATATTCATCAGCCTTGTCAGATAGTTCATGTTTCTAATTATAATTTTTTTGGAAATGCAGCTGCAAGATTAGTCACCTAATAACTTAACTCTCCAATCAGATTACTGCCCAAAAGCCTTTTTAATGCAGAAATTCTGAGTGAGTGCTAGAAATGAATAAATCATTACTTAAAACAAGCTATTCAGACCGTTAATTGAGATACTTCTTATACTATTATTATTTTTCATTTTTCATTTCAGATTAATATAAGGGTACATACAATTAAGTTACATAATTTGCATTTGTTAGGCAAAGTCTGAGTTGAATTTGGACCCTATACTCTTGAAGAGCACAGCATAGCCAATCTATTGCCCACATCCTCCATGTTACCTGAACCCAGGTATCTGTCGGTCATTCTTTCTTCCTTTCTCTTGCCATATCAATCACCAAATTCCCTTGGTGCTGTTAACAAAACGTACCTCCTAGTCATCTAATTAAAGCCCTCATCTTCTCATATAATCTGTTACAAAAGAGCTCTCCATTCCCTCTTTTCCTCGTCCACACTGTTGCTGTAATGAGTTTTTGCTATGGAAATGTGAGTTTGTACTTTCACTAGTCAAAATCCTGCTGAATAAAAATCTGCACATGACATGAGACCCTTCATGGACTAGTCTGTTTAGACTCATCTGTTACTACTGCTCTTAGTTTCTGCAGCTGCACGGAACTGCACACAACACTGCCTCTCTGCTGTGCCGTGTCACACTTCTGTGCCTTTACTTTCTCCGTTTGTCTTCCTGGAAAACCTAGTACTTATTCTTTTAAATTCAAAAGCCATCTAGTCTTTCCTCATTTCTCCCTCGAGCATTATTTGTCTCTAAACTGTGCGTTTTATAAAAGTCTTACAAACAGAACTAAAACTGAGCTTCCAAATTACTTTACCCATAATAAATACTTTGTAATTGAAAGACTGTATCAAAGAAAGAATACTTTGAAAGCTGGAGCTATTTGTATCTCATACATTCTACCAAAATATTTAGCTAACCAAATAATCTGTTTCTTACAGTATGAATTTATTGTCTCAGAAATGAAGTAATGGTTTTTTAGAAAGTTCAAAACATTCTGCCATTTCTAAACAAATATGTATTAATTATTAGCTATATGCTGGATATTGTTCAATACTGGAAATGAAATACACTTAAGACACATTTATTCTTGTTTTTTGGGCTCTCCAAAATTTATATATTTGAAAGACATCAAAATTATCCAGTGTAGTAATCGTGGACATGAAGATGCATATCAAACCGT